CTTCCTCCATCACTTCCCTTCCTTCCTTCTTTCCAATAGACAGAGGGCATGTGCACTTGCTGAAAGGAGACGGAGAAACAGTGGAAGAGGGAGAAAGCACCACCCACCAGGGCATGGTCATGCTTCGATCCCTCTCCATCAGAATTTGGGGCACACACGCACATATGCCCAAAGTGTTTTCAAGCCTCTGGGACCAGAATTCGAACCTCTTGGTTAATCACGTGAGATGCAGCTCCCTCAACCGCCAGGCTACAGGCCTAGCCCAGTAAGTGTTTTCTCTAAATTAGCCAGTCCCCAGCCCTGAGGAAAAGCCCCTGGACAGAGCTGTAGTCCTGCAAATCCTCTCCACCCCACTTGCTGGTTGAGTTCCTGCCCCTGCAGATCTCGGGCTCTGTAAGTAACAAATGTATTTTACCTTATATATTGTAGTTTTGCCTCCTCGTGGTCTCTTCCCTGATGGACACACCTAAACCTCACTCTCCCCTCCTCCTCCCACTCCAGTGGGCTCTCTTAGAGTAGGTGTTTTGGTTCATGGCCACTCCAGAGAGGCCTTGAGACCAAGTTAGAAAGAAACCACAGCAATAAAAATCAGGACGGTCCCAGAAACCTCTTCTTCCTCTCCTTCTCTGTTACCACCACCCTGGCCCCTATCCTGACTTCTAACCCTACAAACAATTGAAATGATTTTCTTTGACAGACTTGAGCATCGAAGGACAGAGTGCCCAGAATGGCCTCTGCTAGCTCTCAGGCCATCTATTTCCCCCAAAATATGCAAACAAAATTCACTGGGGCCGGCAGATGGCTTAGTGTTTGTGTCACTGGACTCCCACATGCCCAACTGCAGTTTGAGTCCTGGACCCAGCAGCTTGAAATTCATGCCGGGCATGTGTGCATGTGTGCCCAAAAATCCCAAGAGGAGAATGAAGGAGAAGGGATTGCAGCGTGGTCATCCTCTGGAGAATTTCTTGCTTTCTGTCTCTGTCTCTCTCTTTTTCTTTCTCTGGCAAGTACATGTGCTTTATGGTAAAAACAAACAAACACCTCTAAACACACATGCATACACACACACACACACACACACACACACACACAACCAAAAAACAAAATTTATTTTCCCAGACTAACAAATCCTGTGCTTGCCTTTGTTCCACGACTCAGTCCACAAACTGTCTACTTGCGTGTCAGCAAACGAAGGGCATCGGAAGTGACAGAACAGCATCTTTGAGTTAGCTTAAGACCTGATAATGTGTCAAATTTAGGGGTAAAGGACTCTAAAATATGGTGGCTTTTTTAAACCATAAAGATAAATAATTTTTAGTAAATCTAAATTGAACTAATTTGATATGTGAATGTAAATGAAAAAAAAATTTTATGTTAGCTATAGGGCGCAGGCACTCATCAGAGAGAGAGATAAGAGAGAGCGCGAGCGAGAGAGAAAGCACCCCAGAGGGGCTGACCACACTGCAACCTCTTCCACTCTCCTCTCAAGATTCTAGGTACCCACACAGAAGCTCCCAGGTTGTTTTTCTTTTCTTTTCTTTTTTTTTTT